AGTCGTGTAAAATAAAATGAAATTGTAGATTCTTTCAAATAATGTGCTAAATAATTCCAAAGTATTTAAGTAACGTAAAGACAGATTATAAATAGAGCCGAATAAGTAGATAACATCGTGAATTTATCAAAGAGCAATAATTTTGAAGTAAAATGTTTTTATGCTCAACGACTAACATTTCTAGGCGGTTGACGTCTGAACCCAGGAATAAGTTCATGATATCTAAGAGGTTGTTGAATAAGTTAGTAGAAGAAAGAATAATAGTATTTCATAATTCAATCAATTATATATTTACTTATCGCGGCATTCCTTTTGGGTTCTTTTAAGTTTCTCTGAGATTGTTCTCCAGTCACGGCCGTGACACTGGTATAACGTTAAAAGATGTGCAGTTTCGACCTTATTCCACGGCTTCATTTTTTTGATTCAGCGTCAGAGTAAAAATCAAGTACTGTGATGTTTTTGCAATTTCTTTTTATACGTTCTGACAAGATGCGATTTAACGTCAGAATAAAATGTAAGTACAGTGCAGGTTTTTGCTATTTCTCTATGTGCTCCAACCAGATGCACTTGGAGAGAATCGACTGTTACAGTAAAGTTTTGAATGCAGGGAGAGGAATTTGACTATAATTCTTGGTTAATTTAATGCACCTTGACAAACTTTAACAATGATTCCCTACAATCACTCGTAGAAAATCTGGGAAAGGATGGAATGTATAGTGTTGTATGGTAAAGTTCGCCTTACTCACGGTGCCAAAGGCAGTTTATTTATAAGCAATACACTATATTTATTTTTAATAAATTATGTGATTTACTATGTTTTAAGACATCATTGGTACATCGTTTGCTACAGAACTTCTTAAAAATGCTTAAAGGGGACCACAAATTTAATTGCATACATTGATCAATATACACGCGACAATTTTGGTTGATTCTTTCGATTAAATGATTCATAATGATGTCAAATCAATACTATAATTTATCATCTTACCTGCTGTGACAAATTGTGTAATCGATCATGACTTCAAAACAAAATCGAATTTTTGACATACAAGGAGAAGAAAATACTTGTCATGAAACATTCCAATTGGCAAGTGGTAAATTTTTCTGCTGGAATACATTAAAAAATGCCTTAAGAAGTAATAGCATTAATTGAATTAGATTATAAATAAGGGAAATTCTATTTTCACCCGGGTTAAAGTCACCCGATATATAATTTCCATTATATTATATAATACAAACTACT